TTAGGGTGAAATCCCGAAAATACCCTTAATTAGTTAATTAATCTGTAATTAAAGAAAAATTTCTCCATTAAACAAGTTTTTAAGGCACTAATTGTTTGGGTTACTACATTGAAGGTTTTTCTTCTCGAGCTTGGAGTAAGCTTTGAGAAATACTTTATTCACTGCGACAATCAGAGTGCCATTCACTTGTCAGAGAATGACGCATTCCATGCTCTGGCCAAGCATGTTAACGTGAAGCACCATGCCATACGGAGATGGCAAAGCAGGAACGAGTTCAAGCTTGTGAAGATTGATACGAGGTACAATCCATCCGATATGCTGACCACATCCGTTCCGCTCGAGAAGGTGAGGCTGTGTACAGCCTCATATGGCCTCCGTTGAGAATGTTGAAGGCCGTGCAAGACGCCAAAGATACATGATACCCGGATGATACAACCAAGTGTAGTGTGAAGATATGATTGATACTCAATCTAATCTTCAAGTTGGAGATTGTCAAGCCGCCCCTGCCCCTTTTCTTGACATTCGAGAAAAGGTGGTCACACTCCTTTTGACGTTTGAGAAATCGGTGGCCGGTTTCTTTGAAAATAAAAAAAGGATGTGGGTCCCACAAATATATTATTATTAGTGGTGGGTCTCACTAATAATATTTTATTTGTGTATAGTGTTTCCTAAATACTATAAATAGGACCCTAAAGTCTTAAGAAAATTTCATCCCAAAAATAACTCCTCTTATAGAAGAGTAAGAGAGAAAACACAGAGAGAGTCTGTGAGAGTTCTTGGAGTGTATCTGATCAAGAGAGGGTGTTCTCTTTGATCTATTCTTTTGGGATATAAAAGAATTTGGCATCGTCGTTGCACCGTGGAGTAGCTCCGAAGGAGTGAATCACGTATATCTGTGAGTACTGTGTTTAATATTGTGCATTTATTCTGTGTATTATGTTTCCGTTCAAGACGTTATTGTTGGTATGTATCCTAACAATTTGAACCCCATATACTCAAAGAACTCAAGCACATGTTCGCGGGGACCTTGATATACAATAAGGCCATCAGAGAGAAGGATAATGTCGTCAAAGAGGTCATATGTCTCCGGTGCAGGCTGGAGGAGGGAGATAACTGCTGTTCCTCCGAGTATGTGAATGGATTGCCTGAGTGAATTGACAATCTGAAATGTTGTTGAGCTGTCAAGGCCGGTGGATATTTCATCCATGAATACTGCTCTTGCCGGTCCAACAAGCATCTCACCTAGAATTGTGTGAAGAGACGACATTAGCATACATGCATGAAAGTTAGGAAGCAAGGAAGCACAGGCAGAACATTATCTTAAAGTCATTTTACTATATCAAATCCTTGAAGTTACAACGAAAATTGAGGGTTGAAATTTTATATTCTAAGCAATCATGCGGCTTTAGCACTATTTTCATGGCCAGAAAACTTGATTATTTTATGCATTAGTATTTTTCTTCCTGAAAAATCTGCTTTAAGTGCAGACACAATAGGATTGGAATCTTGGTTCCTTAAGTGTCAAAGGATCCTGCTATTACACCAAAACTTCAAAAAGTTATGGTGAAGGTTGATGAGGGTTATAATTTTGTACTGTAGCATCCCGCTGTTCCTATGGGTTGAAAAGTGGACTCACACGGCGGTATCAAAACTTTTACAATCCATATTAAATTCATTGGTGGTAAAGATTGAACCTGATCACTTTGGTACAATGCCAAAGGTCCCTACAAATACACCATGAAATTTGGGATTTTGGTAGGGAAGGGACGTTTGACAAAGTGCATCAAAATTCTGATGATACGATGAAGAGGTTAAGATTTATAATTTTGACATATGATACTACCTGTTGTAACACGCTTCTTTTGCCCTCCGGAGATGCCTCTTAATGAGGACAAGAAATGACAATATTTGATTAGTTGATATATTTTTAAATTTTGAAATTTAAAATTTAAAATTTGAAATTTAAAATTTAAAATTTGAAATTTAAAATTTAAAATTTGAAATTTAAAATTTAAAATTTGAAATTTAGTTTATTTTAGTTGAGTGATTTGAGGGATTGTTGTCTGTTTCTATTTTTATTACACATTTTGTGCATGTAGTTTTTTTTATAAATAAGGTTGTATGAGATTATTGAAAATCAATGAATTATTGAAAAATGAAATGAAAAATTGCATTGGCTTAATTTGGTGTGAAACCGATGGGTGTGAAACCCTAGGCTAGTGCTTGTCGTTTCTTTCCTCAGCCGCCACACAAACACCGTTTCTCTTCTCTGTTCATCGTCTTCAACCTCTCTTCTTACTCCAAATCACCACCACCAGCCACTTCCCCTCCTCCTTCCCTGGCTTCTCCACCCGCAGACAGCCCCGTCACCAGACCCCAACTTCAACAACCACAGCCTCTCCCCCGCCCTCTTCTCCTTCGAGCAACGCCGCCGACGTCCTATTCTCCTCCACCTCCGAATGACTACGTCGCCCGCGTCGTCCCGCCACCTCGTCGACATCAGATTCCCTTTCGTCGACGACCATCACTGTCCTTCTTCGTTCTCGGACATTGTTCGCGCCTCTCGTCATCGCTCGCGTCGTCGTCGGATCTCGCGCTCTTTCGTCGTTCTTCCTCATCGTCGAACAGACCAGCCGATCGTTTCGCCTTTCACCGCCAGATTTTAGAACAAAGAACTCATAGAGAAAGGAGACCATCCCGAAGTCGCTCCTTCCTTTTTTTTTCTTCAGATCCAAGCAAAGCATAGCAGGTTAACAGGACAAACTATTTTTTCACGTGAGTGGACTTGTGGATTTTATGGGCTTTGGGCTTTACTGTAGAAGCTAATGGGCCTTGGATTTCTTTCAACAGTTTTAAATAGTGATCCACTGAGGTTTCGTTTCTCTCAACTTAGTGTTTTTCTGTTGATTTCAATTTATTAGTTAATTGCATGAGTATTACATCTCTAAATTCTTATCATATATTCATTGCTTAAACTAAATCTGTGAGTTGAGAGTAATTGAACATGTGACTGCTGAAATTTGATATTGATTGTAGAACTTGCGCAACGATAATGAATATTGTGATTAAATTATTCGAGATTGGAATTGTTCATGACTATCGTTGCAAATCTGATTAAAATCCATCTGTAGCGTTAATTGTTTTAATTTCCTACCGAAGATCATGAATTTTAGCGAAACGGTGCGTTGTTTAAATTAAATCGCTGATTCTGATAGACCCCTTCCCCCGTTTCGCATCAACTCTTCTCATCTGATCTCCCACCATAGAATCTGTCATTACCAAACTAACTAAATAAATCAATCAATCAATTAACAAAAGCAAAGGTATCCTTAGGTTCTAACTTTTTAAAAGGTAATCTCAATCTAATAAGCGCAAAATTTGAATTTGCTCTCATTTGAATGAATTGAAGCACATACCTTTAGTATGTAATCAGTGACTACATCGATTTGCTGTCCTGGCACTGAAGCTGCCTGATTTATTCAAAACCGAAGGAAATATATCAGTATCTTATGTTTGCAAGAGAAATTATTTACATTTGACAGTGATATTTAAATGTCTAAGGCTCACCTTCATGAAGACATCGATGTCAGGATCTGGTCTGATATTTGCTGCTTTCTCTCTTCTTAATAGCTCAGTAAGCAAGTCTGTATTTTTCCCCATAAGATATGTTTATTTCTATTCAAATCATATGAAATTTTCTTAAAGTAACATATACCGAAATGAGACGTGTTATGCTTACCATATCGTGTACCAACTCCCTGGCATCGAGCAGAGAAGGCTAAAGTTTCACGTACTGTGAGCTCTCCTATATGAAGATCATGCTGACCGATATAAGCGGCTGTTCTCTGGAGTACAAACTCATCACTTCCATGACCATTGTACGTTACTTTTCCTGAAACCTGTAGATCTAGGTATGATTAATTCAATATCACCTTGAGATCGATGAACGGAATAAAAAAGTTTTATTTATGAATATCTAACCTTTAAATCTGACCCCAATTTCCCTGCCAAGGTCAATAAAAAGGTAGTTTTTCCTGAACCCGGAGGACCTAAAAGCAAGGTCATCCTAAAAATTGTGCAAATAGAACCAATTATTCACGTTGCGAATAAAAATTAACAGTGACTAAATATTATCTTTCACCAAGAAATTACCTTTGAGGCTTGACAATCCCACTAATATTACTAAGCACCAATAACGGTTTCTTCCTACTCGGCAAAATATGAAGGTAGTTTCCAAAAGCCTGATCAAGAAAATAAAATCGTATCAGTATAGAGTTGTAAGCACAATTGAAAAATTTTCAAAATGTCAAGTACCAACTTACCTCCAATACATTGATCACAGAATTAAGAACCGTGGGCAATCCCCTATTGCCAACATGAATCTCTGCTTCAACATTCAAGTTCTCATACCTCACCTCGATCATAGGAATATCGATTCCAACTCTGCGTATAAACAATAATAACACAACTAAAATTACACAAGAATGCAAACGTCAGCAAATTAAAAAAAATCACAGTTTTGATGATTACCGATCAATTCGTTCCCTTAACTTCTGCAAGAACTTCTCATTGTCCTCCTCTGCAACTCTAACCAATCTCTCCATCATCTTCTTCCTCTCTTCAAACCCGAGGTTCTTGATCTCAACTTCTTTCATCCCTCCCTCTACATCGGTGACCATTAATCCTTTCTTCAGTCGATCACACGTTGGTAACCTCTCTAAAGAAGCCCACTTTAATGCCTCTTCATCATCTTCATCTTTTGAAGATCTTGAGAATATTTCATCCTTTTTATTCCACAATGATGAATTGTTTGCTCGATAGATATCGCCCGTCTCCATTGAAATCTCTCAAAAAGCTTGTTCAATGGCTTCTCGTTCTTGGGAGAAAACTGAACCCACATGTGTTTACGCGACTAGAGAAGCAAACAGATTTATAAAGAGTTCAGAGTTTCAAATGGAAACAGAGCTGTTATTATACTGGAATACCTGGCACATGACAACTCATACCTTAAGGGGTTGGGATTCAGTGGGCAATACTGAACACGCGGAGTTCTTGAAAATTTGGGCTAGAAAGCTGTCCATGTCACCATTGTACGTTACTTTTCCTGAAACCTGTAGAACTAGATATTATTAGTTTAATATCACCATGAGATCGATGTACAAACGGATTTAAAAAGTTTTATATATGAATGTCTAACCTTTAAATTTGACCCCAATTTCCCTGCCAATGTCAATAATAAGGTAGTGTTTCCTGAACCCGGAGGACCTAAAAGCAAGGTCATCCTAAAAATTGCGCAAATAGAACCAATTATTCACATTGCGAATAAAAATTTACAGTGACTAAATATTATCTTTTACCAAGAAATTACCTTTGAGGCTTGACAATCCCACTAATATTACTAAGCACCAATAACGGTTTCTTCCTACTCGGCAAAATATGAAGGTAGTTTCCAAAAGCCTGATCAAGAAAATAAAATCGTATCAGTATAGAGTGCAAGCACAATTGCAAAATTTTCAAGATGTCAAGTACCAACTTTTCGTCCAATACATTGATCACAGAAATTTTTTCAAAATGTCAAGTACCAACTTACCTCCAATACATTGATCACAGAATTAAGAGACGTGGGCAATCCCCTATTGCCAACATGAATCTCTGCTTCAACATTCAAGTTCTCATACCTCACCTCGATCATAGGAATATCGATTCCAACTCTGTGTATAAACAATAATAACACAACTCAATTTACACAAGCATGCAAACGTCAACAAAGGAAAAAAAATCACAATTTTGATGATTACCAATCATTTCGTTCCCTTAACTTCTGCCAGAACTTCTCATTGTCCTCCTCTGCAACTCTAACCAATCTCTCCATCATCTTCTTCCTCTCTTCAAATCCGAGGTTCTTGATCTCAACCTCTCTAAAGAAGCCCACTTTAATGCCACTTCATCATCTGCATCTTTTGAAGATCTTGAGAATATTTCATCCTTTTTATTCCACAATGATGAATTGTTTGCTCGATAGATATCACACATCTCCATTGAAGTCTCTCAAAAAGCTTGTTCAATGGTGTAGGCGTCTAAAAATACCTATAGGTATCCACACACAGCTTGAGACAAAGAGAAGACGACGAACGTTATTATCCAAGTCGAAGAGGATTATCCGAGTCAAAGAGGATCATATGATGCCAACAAGCACATGAAGCGAATCGGCGAACCATTGATGACGTGGCGACGAACCATCGGAATGGCCAACGTTAAGTGGCGCGCATGCTCACCGGCCACCGCCAAGTGGCCCACATGCTCATCGGCCACCGGAACGGAGAACCAAGTGACCCTGCGCTCACCGGCCACCTCTATGTGACCCGTGCACTCATCAGCCAGCTCCAAGTGGCCTGTATGCTCATCGGCCACCGGAACGGCGAACCAAGTAGCCTGCACACTCGTCGGTCATCGTCAAGCAACTTGCGCGTTCACGAAATGCATAAAACAAATCAGTAAAGTGTACAAGTCAACAAAACGACGGAATACACGTAGAAGGACGAAACAAGTCCAGACCGAACATACCGAGAAAGCCCCTGGCGGCCGAGTCGCGTCAAAACGACTTGGCCAGGCCAGTGGCTCCGCCCTGGGCCGAGCCACCAAATGGTGGTTCACGCTTAAACCAAACCGGTTCGGTTCGTTTTGCACCCGGTTCGGCCAGTTTTGAGCTAAAAACACATTTTGACGGTTTTCGATAAGTTTTAGTTTGCCAAGTAAACCTTGTGAAGATGTTGGGCAATTCGAGCTAAGAGTGTGTAAAAAGAACAAATATATTGAGTACACATTCCATTGTCAACAACCATACTCGTTAAACCTTTAAACTTTCTTTCTTTCCTTGATTGATGATCAATCCAACTTTTTTCAGTAACCTTAGCTAACTCAAACTCTAAAAAATAGCAGCATACATGTTTTGTGTACACGTGCATGCACCCGCCCATATATAATCATTCTGGGATTCCAACTTGTTTTGTTAATCAGGATACCAAGAATACTTTTTATTGGGAAATTGATTTCCTATATAAATTTCCATTCTTTTGTTTGGCCGAGGGAAAAAAGGAAATGAAAAATAGCAACATACATGTTGTGCATGTACCCGCCCATATATAATCATTTCCCAGGGTTAAATTTTTAGGAAAAGAACCAGACACAATGAAGGGGGGAAAGGCTAGAACTGTGAATTTATTACTGAACTCATTTTTGCAGTCATCAAACAGTCTCTGTAGGTGAAAATAACAATTTTGAAATTTCTAAATATACCAAAGAGAAGTTCAATCTATAAACTTCTGGCAG